AAAAAAAAAAAAAAAAACATTTTCTAAATCTTTGTGATATACATTCCACAAATATTTGAAGCTACGATATATATTTAATATAAAATTTAAATAGTAATATATATTTTTTATATTTAGTATAAATGTGTGTGCCTTCAGAAATGCGTTTATGTATATATATTAAAAAATAATCATTTAAGGCGTTCAAATAGAACAAAATCTTGAAGATTTATTGTTTAATCCAACGATGATAACCTGTAACAAAAAGCAAACTATATTAGTCATACAGTCAAGTGATACAATAGCCTAACATACAAATCGTCCAGTTCGCAGAGATGCACTTTTCATTTAAATTTCCTATTTATTTTTATCTAATCTCTATGTTTACCGTTTGTCAAATAAAATTAAATTTAAACGCGTGATTTTACATTAAAAAATATAATTAATTAAGAAACAAGAGACAAGTACAAATATAATAAGTTATTAATAAAAATGATATCTATTAATTATTATAAAACACTTTTAAACTATATATACGATAAATAAAAAAGAAAAATTGCAAATTTAATAAAATACAATCACATTAAAAAATTTTCAAGACGAAATAAGAAAAAAAAGAGACTGTAATATTTACTGAACGTTAATCAAACTTCAAAATTTAATAATACGATAATTTTAATATATTTAACTAAATAATTAAAAACTTATGCATCTTTTGGACCGATATGGCACACAAATTTGGTGTGCCAAGGAGATGGAATGATCCATCATCTCCAATTACAATTACAAATTAATGACGAGCAACAAATAAATTATGCAATAGAATATAAAATCTGACTAAAGAGCTATTTTCAAAAAGTTCGAACTTATTGTTGAACTTTTGAAAATAACTCAATAGTTCAATAGTAGTTGCCCACTTGATACCACAAATTTGTGGGGGCCTCTTCGGCAATTAGCCTCTTCGGCATTTAGCCTCTTCTTTCTTCATCCCTGAAAACTGCATTGGACATATTTTCTACATGCAATCAAGATATGATCTCACATACTTTTATTGCAAGTTAACTCGTATTTTGTRTGTTTGATAATTCTAATTCTTGATTATTACAAAATTAATTTACATTTTACCTTTTTAATTATTCAAGCTCGTGGACCATCAATGAACTTAGAGTTCATTGATATATCCACGAGCACAATTAAACAAATGTCCAAGCAGATAATTATCGATGACCTAATAACACGTCGCACATTTAATTTCAATTAATAAAATAGAATTGAAATAAATAATGCAATAAATGTAATGCATTTTCTTGCAATATTTTTATTTCATTCATACGTTATATTTCTAATTGAGAAAATCGCGATTGTGCGAAATGTTAATATTATAATACTTAAAATTAAGTATCAAATCGATCAAAGTATTTGCGAATTTGTTCGATTCTATCTCGTTCGAACGAGATAGAATCGAAATAGAAATAAATCTTACAAATCGTTGCAAATTCCTTTGAATCTCATGATACATATTAAAGATTACAGAAAAGTTACAAAATAAATTTACAAAAGCAAGTATAATAGAATGAAATGATATAATTTTGTAACAATTCTGTGTAAACCAGGAGGCAAAATTTCCACTCCGGAGTGGTAACAAAACCTCGTGCCTTTCCTGGATCCTACCTACTTAAAATTAAAGTTTTCACATTCGCTCAGAGAAGTATGTTACCTGCCCGCCAATTATCCATATTTAAAAAGACCAAATACACATACGTACCCACCCACTCACTCCACGATTCTCTCACATACCACCAGGGTGCAAAAACCTAAACTAGAGAGCATGCCCCGGGGCACCTCCGACACCCTAGTTCAAACGCGTGTTTTCTAATTTTATGGGTATACGTACTTTTTGCTGTAATCGTCTGCCAAGGCTAGTGATTATTGCATAAAAGTCTAAAACAAAAATACAAGTATACACTAGTATATATGCATACTAGTAATATACGAGTATATCAAAGTTGCCACAAATAAATGTGGTAAACTCTACTATTCAAACCGATTCGAAGAAAAAAAAAGATGAGAAAAGTTTAATATAGATAGAAAAATACAACCATGTGTATTTTTGATATCACACTAACTATAGGTGTGCTATACTAAGTAATATTCTCTAAGTGGTAAATAATGCATTAATTAAAAACTATCACGAAACGATGTACATTACACACTAC